ACACTAATATGGATTACAAGGAGACCAAAAAAAAATAACATGTTAAAATTGCAAGGAAAAAATGACAATATTGAATTTAAAATGTAAAAGCATATCACGACAAATGTTGCCCGGTTCTGATACCTCAAAACTCCAAGCAAACATGTTCGACTGAGATATCGTCGAAACGGAAGCACTAGAACTCCATGCGGTGTTCTTCTGTTGTGATATTTTAGAACTCTGAGTAGCGATGTCTAATTGAGATATCGTAGGAATAGTTGTACTATCGGCCCACCTTAAGAATTTGCAGTCTTCCGATTCATGTCCCCACCGTGGGCACCTGTAGAATTGTCGTCCGTAGCTATGTGTCCGGTGTGGCCCCGCATCAGCACATCACTTGCCCAAAATTCCCTGAATACCTGGAGCTCATCGTCCTGCAATTATTAAAAAAACAGTAGATTAGTCAAAAACTAAAGAAAATAAAGAAACTCAACTCATCAAAGTGTGGAAGCAATGGTTGTCGGCAACAAAGTTCTTTGGCAATCTAAGCTGCTCCACAGTTATCTCAATAAAATTAATAGACATAAAAAGTATAAAAACAAGATAAATAATATAAATTCAATGCAACATGTAGGCTCATTTTGTGGGCTTCTTTTAAGGGTCTAATAATTCATATGAAATACTATTGCTGGAGCAGCGGTTACCCTAAAAGAAGGGTCATCCAAGCTGTAATAATAATGAATTACATATTCCATACATTTAACCAAAGCAATGTAAAGCAAAATGGGCCCGTAAGTGGAGCATCTTTGTGGGCAAGTCAACTTTCTTTGATCAAGTACGTGGGCTTTTTTATGCATTCCACACAATTCTTATGTATTTACATATCTAACAGAAAAATATTAATATTTATGTGCATAAAATTTAAATATTTAATATCACATCAAAAATATTATATAATCTTTATTGTTAACTTTTAAAAGTAAATACATATTTTTGTGCATAAATTTATAACACCAAGATGGTGTAAGTGTAAATATCAAATTTTAGACGTTAGATATGTAAAAATACAAGAAATGTGAGGTATGTATGTAAATATCATTTCCTTTGATTCATAGCATGGATCCTAGTTTGGAAAATTTCTTTGATTCCTAGTGTGGATACTTTTATTGATTCATAGTGTGAATAGTTTTTTTGATTCCTAGTGTGAATCATTTCGTAGATTTCTAATTTGAATCCTTTCCTTTAGACATTGACGTGTATCTTTTCCTTGATTCCTAGTGTAGATCCTTTCCTCTAATCCCTAATGTGGATTGTTTCTACTAATTCTAGTGTGAATCCTTTTTTGGATCCCAAGCGTGGATTCTTTTTCATCCTGGTTTTTAATATGGATATCATAATCATCATATTTGCATCTTAGGGTCTGTTTGGGACAGCTGCAGCTTATTCAACTTCTGCTGTTAAGTAGCTGATCCGAATAAGCCGGCTGGTTGTCTGGTTTGTGCGTTTGGAAAACAGTTTATTCTGGATAAATGACCACTCTGTTCTGGATAAGTTTTTTAGCTGTTTGTTTTGTGTTTTTTGTAAACAGCTTATTCGCAGATTTTTTTAGTTGAATGAATAATCTGTCAAGCAGAATTTGTTATTTTCTCAAATGTCAAGACATGAAAATGAAAAAGAGTTGAATTACATTTATATAACTCAAAAATTTCTGATTACATCAAATAAGCACAGTGACATATACGAAAGTGAAGTACACATTCACACACTAATATGGATTACAAGGAGACCAAAAAAAAAAAATAACATGTTAAAATTGCAAGAAAAAAATGACAATATTGAATTTAAAATGTAAAAGCATATCACGACGAATGTTGCCCGGTTCTGATACCTCAAAACTTCAAGCAAACCTGTCCGACTGAGATATCGTAGAAACGGAAGCACTAGAACTCCATGCAGTGTTCTCCTGTTGTGATACTGTCGAACTCTGAGTAGCAATGTCTAATTGAGATATTGTAGAAACAGTTGTACTATCGGCCCACCTTAAGAATTTGCAATCTTCCGGTCCATGTCCCCACCGTGGGCACCTGTAGAATTGTCGTCTGTAGCTATGTGTCTGTCGTGACGTGAGTAGCAAGGACGGTAGCCCGCATCAGCACATCACTTGCCCAAAATTCCCTGAATACCTGGAGCTCATCGTCCTGCAATTATTAAAAAAACAGTAGATTAGTCAAAAACTAAAGAAAATAAAGAAACTCAACTCATCAAAGTGTGGAAGCAATGGTTGTCGGCAACAAAGTTTTTTGGCAATCTAAGCTGCTCCACAGTTATCTCAATAAAATTAATAGACATAAAAAGTATAAAAACAAGATAAATAATATAAATTCAATGCAACATGTAGGCTCATTTTGTGGGCTTCTTTTAAGGGTCTAATAATTCATATGAAATACTGTTGATGGAGCAACAGTTACCCTAAAAGAAGGGTCATCCAAGCTGCAATAATAATGAATTCATATTCCATACATTTAACCAAAGCAATGTAAAGCATACTCATGAACAAGTATGCCTAAGCAATGTGAATCAACAGGTGATGGCCATCCAAGCTACTCCAGGCAATGCCAAAATAAACAGGTATGCCAAAGCAGGTAAGCAATCTAATAAATAGTCTCATATAAGAATAAAGATTCCAACAATCCCCTCATATAAGCAACAAAATTTCCAACATAAACCCACATGAAACATAACCGCATGTGGCCATCCAAGCTATTACAAAGAGATGCACCATGCATCCAACAAATTCTTTTCCCAACACTTTTTCCAACATAGCTTATAAACATAGTCCATAACTCCCAACAAATTATTTTTTCATACTTAAACAAAATACAGAAGGTAGTGGTTGCCCTGGAAGAAGGATCATCCAAGCTACTTCAAATAGAGGCACCATCTATCCAGTTTCGATAACCAAACAGCAAAAGAGCCAATAACTGTTACTATGGCAGCCATATATAGTTCCTTTAAAAATAGATAATGTATCATGTGATGCTTGTGGTCGAAGATAATGCAAAAGTTTGGGGGAGGATCTACACTTGTTAAATTAGCAAAGTGTTACAAGGATTATGAACCTTGACTGAGCATCGCAATCCTAATAACTTGAAAAAGTTAAATGATGCATAGGGCTAAGAAAGAAGCTGCATAACAAGAATATAAAGACGTGCTCATTTTAATCAGGATATGATAGGGAAAAAACTACAGCTCCTTTCAGCTCACATAGCAATCCTTATACAGAAAAAAAAACTGCAAGTGTACATCTTTGAATCAACGCAAAGATAATCATATTTGAATGAAGCCATTCAAATCAAATATGAATGCCAAATTGTGTAAATAACAGTAATTATTCTCAACATACCATACCATTCCAATAAATGTACACATGTAACTCCTAAACTACATACATTGCCTAAAAATGGAATCAGTCCAGCTTATAGTGTTTTGTGTTTGCTGGAAATCTGGGAGAATTAAACTTCTCCCCTCATATATATAAATCAATCCACCTTCTCTTAACTCCCACATCAAATATTCTAATCTCCAATGTTCTGCTTGCTTCCATCTCTTACAAATCTCTATCTTTTTTTTGTGAGGAAAAGTGAGGAAAATGAATTTTTACAGTGGAAGCAGATGCAAGGAAGAAAAAGACATGGACTTATATAATATTTTTAAGGCTATCATACACAATTCAAATGTTTGAGGAAACTAGAAATTTATGCAGGTAAATTCATATATTTAAAGGACTTTGTCATTTGAGCCATCAGACAGATAAGAGAGAGCCCAACAAACATCAGTGTGAATATACTTATAATTCAACAGCTAAGGAAATAACTCCAACACATGAAATAGTAGCTTGTCATTCTGTTATTATGCATATAATGTAAGGTTGGACATAACACTTATAAATTCTGAATTTATCAGATTGAACAACAACCTTAATTTTTTTGATGGAGCTTTCATGTAAGATTCATGGAAAATGCCAACTCATGATATAAACAACATCAGAATCGAAATAACAACCATGTAATAGAACTAATAACGATGTTTTGAGGATAATATACAGTAACTTGAATGTCACACAAAGATGGGCATTAGAATCTGTAAAATATGACATCACTAAATAAACATGAAACACAACCCAGAAAACTATAAAAAACTTCCAACAACCATAAAACAAGTGAACTTAACTTATAACAGTACGTAATACATAATGTTTCAAAGATAACAAATGACTACTTTAATCACGAATAACTGATATCATCTGTTATTTGTTCTCGTAAAGTCGTCATCTCTGATGCACCTTCACCCTCTCGAGTTCATGCATCATGTGAATTTGTTTCTTCGTGTGGCATTGTACGTCCCACATGGTATTCGAATGCTTCAGGTGGGATCTGCACTGAATCATCTTCTAGAATGAGGAACTCTGCATCTGATCTGAAGTGGTAGCGTCGAATGAAATTGTGTAGTGTCATTGTGCCAACAACTATTTGTACTTTCTTTGGAAAAGGGAAAGCCAACATATCTCGTAATATAGCCCACTTCTTCTTCCACACTTTGAACGCTCTTTCGATTATGTCGCACAATGAAGAGTGTCTTTTATTAACTCTTTCTTGCCTCATGTTACACTACTAGATCTTTTAAAATCAGGAATGTGATACTTCGTATCTGGATATGGCTTTAAATATCCCATTTATAATGGATATCCGACGCCAACCAAATAGTATTTACCTGGAGATGGGCAGAAAAATCAAGTCTCATGTTTCTAGTAGCAAACTTAAAAACACAAATATCATGGGCGATTCCTTCCCATCCAGCCATTACAAAGGTAAAGCA